CCAACCAATATCCATCAATTTTTGCCGAGTGGACAAAGACGTGTGCGGCCTAGCATTGTCCTGCTGGAAAATGACACCTTTACGATTGACCAATTCTGGTCGCTTTTCCTTGACCGCTGCATTCAATTTGTCCAGTTGCTAACATTCACGGATAATAAAAAATAACATAATAATAATAATAATAATAATTTTATAATATAACATTTACGGATATCGTAAAAATAGGAGTGAGAGACATCTATAACTGGAATCGGCAATTACTTAGTTGCCAACCCAATATTTTTCCTTATGCTTCCGATTGACTCAGTGTTGATTGAAATCACACCTTTTTAACGCTATTTTTACCAATATTTTTTATTGTACAATTTAACGAATCAATGTTGCGACGACTATAACAATAGTCGCGTATTGACTACACAGAGAACACAGAACATAGGTAACGATTTTTGTTAAAATTTATCGCGAGATGTGCTGCAACCCTTTCGGTAGAAATACGGTCGAACAGAAATGATTGAAATGTGTCTTTTGGCACGTTCGGTCGAAATAGCCTTAAACAGGGACCGGCGGGGTCGGTTCGGAGGGTTAATGCGAGAAAGAATCCTCGCCACCCTCCCCGCACCCCTTGTTCCTTATCGGACACAATATACTTCCGCGCTGGAGCCTTATTCACGATCGCTGCAGCAGCCGGGAGCCCGGGGGCCGGCTATCGGAACCACTCTCAATCCCCTTTAGAAGCTAGACTATCGGCGAGGGTGGAGGAGGAGGTGGAGAGGTGGAGCGAGAAAGTGGATTGAAACGCGGGGAAGAACAAGACGGATACGCGTGACGCCACTCGGAGCAATAACGTTAATTGCTGTAATTTCAATTGCCACGGATTCCGTCGGCCACTCGAGCCATTTCGCCGATTTCACGGGAAACGGAGCGGCGGGGAGGTGGAACTGCCGTGTGCTACCCCCACTTCCCGCGCAAACGGTCACCTAGATACCGTTTTTTTATTCCATATCGCTCGAAACCACCCACCGAGGAACTTCCGTTTCACGTGACGCCGACCGCTTTTTCCTTTTTTTTACGTTCGACTCCCCACTATGCTTCTATCACTTCTCTCTCTCTCTCTCTCTCTCTCTCTCTCTCTCTCTCTCTCTCTCTCATTCGCGCTCTCTGCCTCGCGCGCTCTAACTCGCCGCTCGCCCTCTTTCTCTCGCGTACGCGCTCTCTCTCACACGCTCTCCCTCTTGCGCTCTCTCTCTCTCGCACGCGCTCTCTCCCACTCGCTCTCCCTCTTGCGCTCTCTCTCTCTCGCGCGCGCTCTCTCCCACTCGCTTGCTCTCTTGCGCGCGCTCTCTCCCACTCGCTTGTTCTCTCGCGCGCGCTCTCTCCCTCTCGCTTACTCTCTCTCGCTTGCTCTCTCTCTCTCGCTTGTTCTCCCTCTCGCTTGTTCTCCCTCTCGCTCGCAGTCTCTCTCTCTCCATCGTTCGTTTTCTCTTATTTTTATGTCGACGCTATTGATTGGAACGGAACTAATTGCTTAGAAGCTGTTGCAAATAACGATGCGGGTCCGCGTCCGCCGAACACCGGCGACCGGCTCGTGGATTTTAGGTGGATTGTGGTTCCAATTAAAGGAAGCTGCACACCCGGCTCTGTATCATTCAAACATTTCTGCTTTATGGACCGGCTGACTCCGGCGCTACGCTGCTGCACCGATCCCTCTGTGCGGTCCCGCTCGAGGGCCTGCCGAGTATACTGTGTACAGTCTGCAGGGAATCGGCAGCTTTGTACCGGGACAAGGCTGGTTTTGTACCGGACGATTGTTGAACCGTACGAAAAAATTTCGGCACCGCGGGCCGCTCGCTGCCGCGTCTTTCGGACCGTGTGGCACCGGTGGTCTGGGAAGCGCTAATTTATGACCAAAATTAAATTTTCTTCCTATTTGTAGACGATTTTTTGCTCTCCCTATCGGATAACGTAGCGTTCTAAGCGCGAAATCGTGGGATTGGAATTGCACGTTTTTAGTTGTTTCTTCGCGCAGTGTTGAAATGCAAATATACATTTTTAGCAAACAGAAATTTAACGAAACGTCGTATTTGCGTATTTCTATGTTAGAAATGATAGATAATACAAATATGCAAATATAGTTATTTTTTTGTTCTCATTTAAATATCAGTGAAAATATGAAGGTTACTTGGAGTTTATAATTATTCACAGCACTGAGTATTTAAAAAAAAAACAACTTAATAAAGCATCGTATTTCTACATTTCTGTTTTGTATTATTTCTAATACGAACATTATTTTTGTATATTTATATATTAGAAAATAAGAAATATAAATCTAGAAGCATGATTGTAAAATTTTCTATAGAGAAGAAATAGAAATATGTTATAACTTGATATTCTGTTAAATTTTCTATTTTCAATATAAAAATATAGAAATATAATGTTTTATTAAGTTTTCGTTTCGGTATCAGCAACAACGTAAAAGTTCCTTTCGTGCATAATGAATTAATGAGAAAAGTGAATGAAGTAAACCATGAAAGAAATTTTAAGATAACTTTCTTCTCTGTCAAAGTCAAATTTTTTAAATCTTATCTGAATTTATTTTTCGAAGAATTATTTATCGAAATTAAATTTCGAAGAATCGCTTTGACATGATATTCTACGCACTTAAAACCTGAAAAAGAATAAACAATAAAAATCGTCTCTTTTGAACGTTTAGGTAATAACCTAACCTAGATCCAATCCTCGCGAATGCACAAAATGCTCAGTGAATCTCGATGAAGTGATTATCAGATCGAATTAATTACTATAACACGAATAGTCGGACTTTTCCAGGTCAAACTCGACCCAGTAGTTTCCGAAAAACATTCGAAACACTCTTAAATCAACGGGGAAACTTTTGATCCACGGTGCTCTCGCCCCCCCCCCCCCGGGCAATATTTACAAGACCGCTTTCTCGGAATGATGGAAGTGTTTCTCAGTGTCCAATAAAAAATCAAGAGAGAGAATTTATGAACGCAATATCGGGACCAAAATCAAGAGAGCCCGTGGTGTGCAGGTCGCGATCGATAGACCGCCCTCTCCTTCTAAGGACACCGGCGATAATCCGCCCTAAAATCCCCGGGGGCGATACTGCACCAAGGGACCTTTCAAAACAATTTAAAAAAAAGAATATATGTCGCGCTTTAACACGTTGATTGCTGTCTTCGGATACCTTTGTGTCCCTCCGCTCCAGAGTTGAGCAAATTCTATTTTAAATAATAAATAATAAATTAATTAATTAATAAATTTCGTAATTTCATATTCTTGTACAATAATGAATTGATTTAGATTTTAAGCATAAAAATATGCGCCACAACTGTAACGCCCAATTATGAATATTTTAGGTTCGGATAATCGAGTTTTTATTGTAATCATTACAATTTTACGTTTACTCTTTTTTAATAAATTTCATAATTTAATATTCTTATACAATTATGAATTGATATAGTTCATGGCTTAAAAGTATGAGCTGAAACCACG